GATGAAGCTAAAGAGCTGTAACACTTGTCTGAGCACGGCAGAGGCCTAGAGTGAGGCTTGGCAGTGGGCACAATTGTAAATGAGGCCCAGCAGCAGGCACGGTCAAGAGGACTGACTGTGGACACAGGCAAGAGGGAAGCTGAGAAACGGTTTGGCTGGCAGATGTCCCGATTGACAAATTGCATCCTCTCTCTCAAGTTGAATCCCGCTACTTTCCTCATACAGCACACATCGTTGAGTGTGGTACGTGAGTGTGTGTGGCCACGGCCATGACCTCGTGAAAACAGCGGTGTGTCACGGGCAGGACAGCTGGTGTCATAACTGACCAAAAAACAGAAACCGAAGAGTGAAGGTATGTCAGACCCCACCGCAGAGGCGTCGTTTTGAGGTAATGGTGATTCTTTCTTCCTCCTTGGCGTGTGGACAAGTCTGACACCATTAGACTGTAACATGTTTCTATAAACAAAGAGAAGTCAAGCACTGCTACTAGACACCAAAAACCAGGAGAGGCTTACAGAAGGAATTTATATAGTCAAGACCTTGATTTGAGAATTTCTTGTCTCCAACCTGCGAAAAAATTAATTTGTTCTTTAAAGGCAACAGTACAAGCCACTTCCACTACCATTTTCTTTGACATACACCTACCCCAATGTTCTGTGCAGTCTCTAAATGGAGTTTAATATATCCTAAAGGTTTTCTGGAGCACCTAAAAGTCTGCTTTCAACATGGTAAACACTTAGTGTACATCTACTGAATTCAATTTTAAGAGACATACTCACTGGTTACATGAAAATATGGAGAGTCAGAAAATTGAAGAAGACAGTCTACACTAGTTTAAAGGTTAGGTTATTGAAAATGCTTCCAGTAACCGTTCTTTACCTTTAACTTTGTTATCCACCTCATCTCCTGGAAGGGCCAGTCTCTTTTTGCCAAAATTAGGTCCCACTGGCTTCAAGGATGCTCTTGGTGTTTTTTCCCTCCTCTTGTGGACAAACAACAAGGAGGAAGATAGGGAATCGGATGTCGGTGAGACCAGGTAATCTGCCAACGGGTCAATGCTGCTTCCAGTCAGCCAATTAAAGGAGCTCCTTCCATCTACAAAGGTACATGTCAGAAGGAATTATAACATGTCTCACAACCCCACAATTTCTCCTGTACACAAAACCGTAAGCAATAGGGCAGGGCGGCTGGCACACACTGCAGGAGCAAGACCCTGCGTGGGTAGTAACAGGCTGTGGAGACTCCCTCTGCTCTCAGCTCCAGCTGTTTACCTGCCGCAGGCACCAGGTGAGCACAGGGACTGGAGAAGTGTGGGCTGGAGAAGCGGGATCTGTACTGTACAGTTTACACTCGCGACTCCTCCGTGGTGATGCTGGGGTCATGGCTGCTTTCCACCTTTTGCAGGGTATTAGCATCCCTTTTATAATAAACTCTCATCATTTCAAACATCACCATCATAACATTCCCTTTGTAATTATTTAAATTAGTCCAACTTTCAGAACAAATAGATTTGGGAAAATCCTTCCAAGGAAAAACTTCAAAGTGCTTGTAAAAATGATTCGGATGTTCTTTGCTGATCAAAGGAAACAGTTGAATCATTTAAGAAATAAGAAACT